AGAACACCATGAAACCGAATGCCTAGAAGAATTAAGGCAAGTGCTTGGTTTGATTTTCCTGTTGGTCCACCAGAAAGGGGTAAGGAGCATGCCATTACACTGAAGGAAGGGAGTGGAACTATGAATGTATGACCCTACAGATATGCATCCTACCAGAAGACAAAATTGAAATACTGATCAATGAGATGTTGGATGCGGTAGTGATTCAGCACAGTAGCTCCAGCCCTGTACTGCTAGTTTAAAAAAACGGGAGTTGGAGGTTTTGCATGGACTACTGCGCCCTCAACAAATGTACATTTCCTAATAAATTCTCTATCCCTATAATTGATGACCTGTTGGATGAACTATATGATGCAGGGGTGTTCTCCAAACTAGACTTGAAGTGTGGTTACCACCAAATACGCATGCGACCTGAAGATGTCCCAAAGACGACGTTTCGCACGCACGAAGGGGACTACGAATTCCTTGTTATGCCCTTTGGACTAGCCAATGCACCTTCTATTTTCCAAGGGTTGATAAACGAGGTGTTCAAGCCATACCTTAGGAAATTTGTTTTGGTTTTTTTTTTGACAAAATCCTCGTATACAGGAAGAATATGGAGGATCACATTGGACACTTGCAGAAAGTTTTTAGTGTTTTGCTTAAACATCAGTTGTATGCTAACCAAAAAAATGTGAGTTTGGGGAGCCTAAAGTGGGGTATTGGGGCACATCATGTCAAGCAAAGGGAAGGTGCGGACTATGCAATGTTGGCCAATTCCCCTAACGGTAACTGAGTTGCGTGGTTTCTTGAGATTTTCTAGCTACTACAGGAAGTTTATCGCAGGTTATGGTAGAATAGCTGGTCCTTAACCAATCTGCTAAAGAAAAATCAGTTCAAGTGGGGAAGTCAAGCCGAGGCCGCTTTTCAGGAATTAAAAACAGCCCTATCGACAGCCCCTGTGTTGAGGCTGCCCAATTTCACAGCCTTTCGTTGTAGAGACTGATGCGTCAGGGTTCGGGTTAGGAGCAGTTCTGATGCAGCAAGAACGCCCCATAGCCTATTTCAGCCAGGATTTAGGCTCTCAAGCACCACAAAAATCAGTGTATGAAAAGGAGCTGATGGTCGTGGTCTTGGCTGTTCGGAGATGGCGACCGTACTTACTGGGCAGAAAATTTTCCATACGCACAGACCAACAAAGTTTAAAATACTTAATGGAACAAAGGGTGGTGGAACCAGAATATCAATGTTGGGTTAGCAAACTGTTGGGGTATGAAGTCGACATTCTGTACCGAACAGGGAGTAGCAACCAAGCTACAATAGCGATAGTGGGAGATAATTAAAAAAGAAGTGGAGGATGATCAATTGTTGCAACAAATTGAAGAGACATCAAGGCAGGTATTGGCATAAACCACAGTTTCTCGATATACAATGAGTTGTTCTAATACAAGGGAGGTTAGTGTTGTCCCGAAAGTCAGCTTTAATACCCCGTCTCTTCGAAGAATTCCTTGGCTCACCCATTGGGGGTCATGCAAGTGAAGAGAGGACCTATCAACGAGTGGTGGCTAAGATGTTTTGGGTGGGAATGATGAAGGACCCAGTGAAAATGGTAAAAAGTTGTGGCATATGTCAGCAAAATAAATACTTGGCAGGTTCACCGGCAGGGCTGTTACAACCTCTCCCTCTACCTCAGAGAGTGTGGGAGGTCATTACAATGGACTTCATTGAAGGACTACCAAATCAATGGGTATGATGACCATTTTGGCGGTGGTGGACAGGCTGAGAAAGTACAACCTTTTCTTAGGGCTAAAACACCCTTTCCCAGCAAAAACAGTGGCAGAAATATTCATTGAAGAAGTGATCAGATTACATGGCATACCAGAATCTATTATCACAGATAGAGGTAAGCTATTTCTTCTAAGTCAGTTCTGGCAAGAAGTGTTCAAATTGCAGGGGACCAAGTTAAATTACAGCATGGCATATCACCCCCAGACAGACGGGCAGACTGAAGTAGTAAACAAAACACTGGAGCAGTTCCTCATATGTATAGCATCAGATCGGCCGAAAGAGTGGGGGAAGTGGTTGTGTTGGGCAGAGTATTGGTACAACACCTCATACCACTCTGCCCTCAAATGCACTCCCTTTAAGGTCTTGTATGGGAGGGACCTGCCAACGCTACTGAAATAAGAAGGGGCAGCAACAGAAATTCAGTCCGTGGAACAGATGCTATTATGCTACTAGAAAGGGAGGAAATTCTAGACGAGGTCAAGATGCACCTACTGAAGGCACAACAACGCATGAAACAGCAGGCAGACTTGGGGAGGAAAGATTACAATTTTAAAGCAGGAGACTTGGTTTTCTTGAAACTAAGGCCTTACTGTTGGAAGTCATTAGCTACCACTCATAACCAAAAGTTGGCTGCCAGGTTTTACGGCCCATATCAAATAATAGAAACGGTGGGACAGGTAGCATACAAGCTACAATTGCCAGCTACGACAAACATCCATTCGGTTTTCCATGTGTCCCAACTAAGGCGTGCCATAGGAGCAAGTGCCTCCTCACACAGTCTACCTCCACAACTCAAGGACAACATGGAGTTCAGAGCAGATCTGAAGCGGTTCTAGATATAAAGCAAGACAGAGCCACGGGTCAGTTAGAAGTACTAATCAAGTGGAAGGGGTTGGAAGATTTCGAAGCAACGTGGGACGACCATGATGCAATTGGTAACCAGTTTTCACCTTGAGGACAAGGTGAGACTTTTGGGGAGGGGTTTTCGTAAGCCACCCATTAAATGCACCTATGCAAGAAAAGGCAAGTCCCACTAATTGACTGGGGTAATCCTGCAATAATGGAATGTTGAGTTGTCCTCCAGCAAATTCTTAGCTAATCACATAATAGAGGAATGTAGCTGTCCCAATTGAATAGGAAAACATTTTCTAATTTTGGCTTTCGGTTTATTTTAAATAGGGTAGCAGGGTTAGGGTAAAAGGCATCAGTTTTGTAATACGTAAGGTTTGGAAGAGCCTCCAGCCTTTCGAAAGCTGGTAATTCCTATTTTAAGCATTTGATTCAATTAATCATTTGACTTTGTTTAGCTAGTTTGCATCAATATCACACTGAGCGGATTACAACTAGAACTTGTACATTATGACCTTATTGAAAACCCACAGTTTGGAGATTTCAGACACTTGACGTCATCAGCACAAAAGCTTCACTCGAAAAGAATTTTTGGTCATTTTCCTCATGATTCTATTTTAATGACAGAAAAAACTTGCGGTGATTGCTAATGAGCAAATAGGTACATTGCAAAGGAATCTTTCTAGAAAAAAAAATTGTTGCATTTATTTGACAACCCAAAATAGGAAATGTTACATTCTTATGGGACAAATGGAGTAAAACAGACCATGGTTTACTTATCATTTTATTTTCACAGAAACAAAAAGATAAATCACACATATATTCTCTCCCTTCTTGTGGGAAAAAGATCACTTCATATTTTAGAAATTCCAACCATTGACCTTTTAAATTGAAAACGACATATTTCCAGCTTTTTAGTTCCAAAAACATCTTAATAACATAATGTATTGTTACAGTTCCAGGTAATGATTGTATTCTCAAATCTCAACAACAACCAATTCCCTTTTTTAACTCAATATTCAACTCTTTCAACACTAGTATATAAGTGTAGGCTCTTTTTGTAAGAGGAGGACTAAATAACAAAATTTTATTTCTTTTCACAAAAAATAATAAGAATAGTAAAAGATTTCATATAGATCTCACTTACACGCCCTTATCGATGCATGTAACAAACTATAGTAACACGAGTTACTTGTTATCTCATTACAAGCACTTACTCAGATGGAATTTTCATACTTCAAGACTTCGCTAGATCATCATTTAAGATTTTAACGGGTCTAAATGTGAATTTTGAGGGTCTAATGGAGATCATCTAGAACATTGAGTCTATTCGAACTAATGCTATAGTGTAAGAGGTCCATACTGATTTGTAGCTAGCTTCTGACATATCTAATTATCTAATAATCATCACCTTACACAATTTGAAAATGTATTAGACCATATGTATTAACTATTTAAAGAGTATGTTGTAGATTATGAGATAAGAAATATAATCATGACAACTCAAAAAACTAATTGTTATTTGGTTGTCACAGAATTGCTATCATAATTTCTTATATCCTTATCTAGAAACAAATATGTTCATTGTGGGATTGATATTCTACAAAAGAAATAAGGATGAGAACCCCGCAAGCAAGGAAATTGTATTACCCAAATCCGTGAACCAACTTCAATTGGTAAAGTCAGCATGCGGCATTCTAAACATGCTAGGTCTCATATGTTGTACAGGGATCCAATCACCGGTTTGGTTAAAGTCCTCCCCTTGTGGAAATAAGAGGGTGCTTGAGGAGATATCCGCCCCTCCAATATAGCAAAAACATTTAATGGTCCAGTCTCCAGAAGTTATACCCAAAAAGCAACATGATGGCCAACATCACAAGCATTCTTGGCATTTTGGGATCTTGGAAAGGACTTTTTATCCATTTGGATGTATCCAAACAAAGGGTATGTTTTTGGATAGAAATAGAAAACCCCACCCCACCCACCCTCAGTTACCGATGAAGCTAACTTATAAACCAGTTCTCACTCCAAGCTGAAAGCTATTCCTAGAGATTGGAGAAAAGGAAGCACCATTTGTAAGGTGCGGGAATTAACTTTGACCATGGGCCAACCAAGATCGTCAAACCTCCAGGCGGAATGATTACCGATAACCAACACAAGAGGTGAAATGCACAATCACAGAATTCGAACAGTGATCACATTTTTTTACATCGCAAAGCCTAGAATATAATGTATACTTCAACAGTGCCAAAAAAGATTCAAAATCATACAAATTCATGCATGCATGTACAAATCATCCAGAACACAGCACTTACTACTTGTAAATAACCATGCAAAGGACTTGCTGACCACTGATAAAAGATGGGAGGACAGAAGAACTTTACCGTAAACATAGCATTCTTTCAGAAGGTACAAGAACACTACTGGGGAAACATTGGTAAGATCAGAATAGGCATGCAGGGATATAGACCATTCTTGGTGAGTCACACCACAAGTGGATAGTTTGAGAGTTTTGTCATCCACGCCCATAGTTGAAAATATGAAATTCCTAGAAACAACAAGAAAGTAGCATGCATAAGTAAATAGAATCAGACTGGAAAAAACTCGGTATTCTTTCCAGCATGCACGCAATTTACACTTGATATCTCTTCATTACGTTTTTGCTTTAACCAGATGTGACTGTGAGAGGTCTACTTGCAACATCACGTATGTGTGTGTTAGTACAGTACAGCCAATCAAAAGCATTATGTCTTCCAATGTAAGAGTCAAGACTCCAAGAAACAAATCACATAAATATGCTCTTGTAAATTGTGAAATAAATCAGCTTAGAGAATCACTGATTCTTCCCCTTTCCAATTTCCTCCATTTCATGTAAACTGTGAAACAAATAATTTTTTCCACGAATAAGATTTGGAAACCCATGATTTCAGTCCACTAAAGCTGATAACAATCCACTATTTCATTTCTAGGATCGACTTTCAAGAAAGCATCCTTAGACAAGACTCCAACAACATTCCATGAATGTGTCTTGTAAAAACCATATGGCAACATTAACACTGATACTAGGAAACAGAATACATAACTACTTTGTGTGGAAAAATCAAAAATCCCCGAATTGCATATCATCACTGCAAATCAAAAGCCATTTACAAGAAAACAAATATTCATAAGAAAATAGTCTACAGCTACACACAAAAACATAAATGCTTTTTACATAAACAAGCAGGCACACAAACCTAACACAAAACTGGCACCCATAAGAAAAATATATTGAGCAGAATCAGAACATACGAGCAACAACAGAGGAAACCCATTCTTCAGCTAAAACCAGAATATCATTAACTCAAATGAATATACGAAGAAACAAAAAAGAAAACAAGCACTTAAATAACACACTATACATCAGAAGAATGATCGACTATAACAATGTAATTGACATTGTTAAGAGTGAACAATCTTACTTCAATCTCTTCAAAACCACAAAAAAACTATGAGGTTTTTCTCTTCAAACAGGGAGAAAAGAGTAGAGAAACAAATAGTTCAACCAAATACTCATTACTTACGATTTGAAATATCTTTATGGGTTCTATATCGGAGAATCGAAGATTAATAAACCCTAATTTAGAGCGAGCAATGGATGAGTATGGCCCACTTGATATCGTTACCAGAAATGGCAACACGACCCCATTTCCTTGTCAGTCACCATCCTCGTCATCTTCCTTCTCTCTAATTAAAAGGGAATATTCTTTTATTTTCAGATTTTTTTAAACAAATATTCATAAGGGTGTGTTTGGTGCGATGGACAGGGTGGGACAGAACAGGACAGAACACATTTGTCTTATGTTTGGTGTAGCTTTATGTGGAACTAAGTAGAACTAAGTAGAACAAGAGTGGGACAGGGTTGTTCACCCTTACCCCCCTAGAACTAAGTGGAACATAAAGTTTTTTACCACACTACCCTTTCTGCTTCCATCGCTTCCTTCAACCCCTTTCTTCCCCACACCCTTTCCCCGTATCCGCCTCCATCGCTTCACAGCAATCGGCGGCGACTTCTACTCAATCGGCGGCGACTTCTACCTAAATCGGCGACTTTTCCTCTCTCCATACTCAGGTACACGATTGCTTCATCTCGATTTTGTTGCTGATTAGAAGCATCTGGGTTTGCTGGTTTTAATCGATTTTTTTTGCTTTGTTTGATCTCGTCGGTGGTGGTTTGTTTGATGTGGACCTGCAAAAGAGGTTCTTCGTGGGTTTATCTTGAACCCGGAACGGTCTTCATCTTCTTCTTCAAAGAGTAATCGGAGGTTGAGTGATGTTGAGACCCATGAACTTAATAAACCCTTATCTGGAATTGCTGGATGGCTTAATTCTGTAACGAATAAGCTAAGTCCTAGCCCTCCATCATCTTCAAATTTGAAAACAACAGAGAGGATTGAAGGGTTTGATTCTGTTAGTAGTAGTGCACTTGATGCTGCCATGGATGAGGTTAGGACTTGGGATTTAGGGTCTGGTAACTCTAGGGATCCAGAGGTAGAAGAAGAGTATCAAATACAAATGGCTTTGGAGTTGAGTGCTAGGGAAGATCCAGAAGCATTTCAGATCGAAGTTGTTAAGCAAATCAGTTTGGGCTCTTGTCCTCAACAAATATGTTTGTTGCTAGTTCATTGAAAATGATGAAGAGTTAGCTCACATTGTTAAGAAATATGTTTGTTGCTAGTGTTGTTTTGAGGAAAAATTCATAATTGAGAATTGTAGAATAGATGCATATTGATGAATGTAGTTGGAATGTGAGTTTTTTTGGTATTTTTAAATAGTATTTGTAAACATTTATATTGATTATTTAGTGAAAAAACACTAAACAGTTTACTGGGGGTAAATTGGTCATTTTAACCAGTTCTGTCCTGTCCTGTCCAGTCTTACCAAACGCTGAACAGCTGTCCTGTCCTGTTCTGTTCTGTCCTGTCCTGTTCTGTCCTGTCCTGTCCAGTTCTGTCCTGTCCTGTCCAGTCTGCACACCAAACGCACCCTAAAAGATTCCGGGTGCGTTTGGTACATTGGATAGGGATATGACAAAACAGGACAAGGATCCCTGTCTTATGTTTGACATGAATTTTATGTGGAACAGAATGGAACAAAGTGGAACAAACCTGTTTCACCCCTACCCCATGGAACAGGATGGAACAAGGTGGAACAGACTTATATTTTACCAATATAACATCAAAATAAAACTTAATTTTCTTCTAAAACATCAAATAGGTCCTTTTTTTACATTTTATTCATTCTTTAAATTTTATTTATTGTATTTTATGTTTCTTAAACTTTCATTTTACTGTTCTTAAAATATTATTTTTATACGGTTTCTATATTTTTATTAATTTATGTAATTTATTATATATTAATAATAAAAAATAATATAGAAAAGAGATAAAAATAAAAATAGAAAACCACATAAACTTTTTATTTGGTGTCATTTTAATTGTTTTTCGAAAACTTCAAATGATATATTTTGTTATAAAAAATAATTACTCTATTATAATTCAATAAATTACATAAATTGTTTTCTTGATTTTATCACCGTCAAACGTATTGTGTAAGGTTCACGCATGCAATTTGTTGTTTTCGATGAGTTTTGTATGTTTTCCCTTGATCAGAGTATTAAATATTCGATTTTGATCTTACAGAAGTGATTGTACAGGTGATAGGTGAATTCTTTTGTTTTCTGGAATCCNCGGATATTTTTATTAATTTATGTAATTTATTATATATTAATAATAAAAAATAATATAGAAAAGAGATAAAAATAAAAATAGAAAACTACATAAACTTTTTATTTGGTGTCATTTTAATTGTTTTGACGAATACTTAAAATAATATATTTTGTTATAAAAAATAATTATTTTATTATAATTTAATAAATTACATAAATTAATTAAAATAAACAATTCATCAGAGGTAAATTGGTCATTTTACTTGTTCTGTTCTATCCAGTTTTATCTTACCAAACGTTAAACAGTTGTTTTATCTTGTCTTGTTCTGTCTTATCATGTCCCCACACCAAACACACCCTCAAGGATCAAATGTTAAATGATTTTTACAAATTTATCATAGTATTTCATTTTCAGTTTTTTTATTACAGTAATATACTTTTAAAATATTTTTTTATTAGGGATTGTAATTTCAAAATTTTATCTGTTATAGCATTGGGTAACTTATTACCTTTTGAACAAGTTTTTTTTATTAACCTGGATATTCAACCCGCTATGCGAGCCGACTAATCTCAGGACGACCACCTGCTTTGCAAATAGCCCAAAGTCACCGCATTTGAACCTCCATGGCCACAAGGGGATTTTTATTCCTCATTGGATTTAAACCTGAGACCTCCTGTACTTTTGACGTTTGGAGCCAAGATCAAACCAATCAGGCACCACCCTTGTGGTTTGAACAGGTTTTTCTTTGTTGGCGTGTCAAACTTAAAATGGCATGAAAGCCACATAAGATAACTTGTTACACATGGGATAGCTTACATGTCATTTAAAAGAAAAATCTAACTCAAAAACAATTTTTAAAAAGGAAAAAAGAATAGCCTTTCCCTTGTTCGACTGGTCGTGAACCCTCAATCATACACTCGTCCTCTTCTTGTTGATCGATTCCTAAAACCTTTATCTTTTTCTTCCTGATCGATTCCTAAAACCCTCATCCTCTTTTTCCTGATCGAATCTAAACCCTAATCGACCCTCATCCTCTTCCATATCGATCCTTATCCTCTTCCTCATCAACCCTCATCCTGAGTGTTATGATTCATAAGTGCTGCGATTTCCAAAAAGTAAGTTCAATATCAAGGCTAAGAGTTTGCATCTGGCTTTTTCTCTATCTATCTATGGATGTGTGGACATATTTAAACAGAAAGGAAACATATATAATGGCTATTTCTCTATCTTTCTATGGATGTGTGGATTTACTGTTTGGTAAAAATTTGACAGCCTTTTAACAGTTCCAAAAGGTTGTGTATCGCTTAGAGGCATTTACTGTTTGGTTTGGGTTATTTTCAAGTCGATTTCCTGTAAACATATATGTGGTTTGTGATTTCCCCCACCATGTTTGAGATTCTTGATTTAGAGTATACGTATAGTATGTAAAAGATTACTCGTAGGCGATTTTACGATTTAATGCACATCAGGTGTTTGATTATTTATCTTAAAGAAAAAATTTACTTAACTCTTCATAGTAGAAATTGAAGCATAAAGAAACTAGAAAGGTAGGCAAATGAAATAGAAACATCCCTTCATTTGTTACATAACATTAAGCAAATCACTTGAAATTGTTATTTCTAACAGTTTAGTTCAAAAACTGGATTTCACTTCACTCACAATGCTAACATAACCTTAATCAGGATTTAACTATACTCCTTTATATAACAACTAACAGCCATACACATATTTGAATGATAAATTTTGCCATACCAACAGCCATACACACATATTTGAATGAGAAATTCATGTCATACCTCATCATTTATTACGTCCTTGAAGCTTGTCCTTGGAAAATTAACTCCCCTGGTACACATAAAACTGTAGTGTACCTTGTAGTGAGAAATTCATGCCATACCTTTTAATATAACCAATTTTGGAGTGCGTTTCGCATATTGATGGTTCTTTTGTCTGTTTTTTTATCTTAAGATCATCTTGGATGCTAAATTCTTTGTTTCTTTATCTTCAGGATGACATCTTCATCAATATCTACAACAATATCTTTCGAGGTACATTACACAGGTGATTCTGTATTTTGGCCACTTGAATATGCTAATGGGTTGAGAATTTTTTTTGAAACTTTTGACATTGGCAACATGGAATACTTTGATTTTGTTGTTTTTTGAAGAATTACACACACACATTGTGTGAAAACATATATTTTTGTATTCCTGGTAAGGGCTTAGAAAATGGTTTAAGAAAGCTTAAATGTAATGTGGATCTTAAGAGTTTTATTGAATATGGACTCAAAAGTAGGGAGATGTGATAACCGGATCCTAGTTATCACCTAAGGTAATTAATATGTGATTATTTGATTAAATGATTATGTGATAGCATGATAAATTGTTATGTTTGATCATGCTGGTATGTGAAAGTGTGCATAATTTAGATGCATAAAAGAGATTATGTGCATATATGTGATATGCATGCATGTAGGTGCATATGTGCATGAGAATATATATATATATATATATATATATATGAATGGTAATGTGAATGCATGCATAAGAGAAGGCTGTGTTAACCGCCTTTCCTGATTTGGAAAGTATAAAAGGAGGACTTAGCCTCCATATTTCTGCTTCTTGCCTTTTAAAAAAGTTGTGTGATTTAAAGAGGAGAGGTTGACCGGATTATTCTTGGCTGGAGATTCAAATTGATTTCAAGTGTTTGATTCCAAAATATTGATAAGGTGAGTAATTTCTAAACTCTTTTGAATAAAATTTCTATTGGTTTTATATGAATCTTGTTTA